GTGCCCAGAGACCTCCAGACATCCCCTCCCCTGTCCCCCCATGCCCTCATCCATCTCCTCCCCGTTCTCATGTCTCCTTTCCCCCATGTCCTGTCCCCTCAAACTGGATCTCTAATGTAAAGATGAGACTCCCGTGAGTTAAATCTGATGAGCAAGGAAGACAAACCCAGATATGAAGCTCCCACCAAGCACCACGTGCAGTCCCTGGGGGGGGTGAGGAGGGGAGGGGTGATGGGATGAGATCCTGGGGGGCAAAGCTGGCTGGGGTGCTCCCTGGGAGGTGCAGGAGGTTCTGCTGTACCTGCCCTCGCAGTTACCCAGAGTGGGGCTTGTTGGGGCACACGCCAACCTGGGAGACCCATCCCCACGGCCATCATGATGGTTTGGTTTTTCATCCCAGTGACTTCCCACACCAACAATTTCCTGTCCTTGGGATGACTTCCCATCCTCCACCATGATTTCCCAACCCTGTGGTGGCTTCCCATCCCAGTGGTGCTTTCCAATTCCCTCTATGGTTTCTCATCCCAACAATGATTTCTCAGGTCTATGTTGTTTTCCTGTCCCAACAATCTCCCATCTCCACGATGGTTTCCCAACCTAAGGTTTTCCCCATCCCAATCATCTCCCATCCCAGTGATGGTTTCCAAATCCACTGGTTTCCCATCCTAGTCATTTCCATCCCCATGATGGTTTTACCACCATGATGACAGTATCTAAGCCCAATGATGGTTTTCCCATCCCAACAATCTCCCGTTCCCATTATGACCTCCCGTTCCAATGAATCCCCATCCTCACGATGGTTTCCCAGCCCAAGGAGAAACAGCTTTTCAAGGAAAAAAAAAAAAAAAGTAAATATGTAATGAATGTATTATCATATATCAGCACTGCACCCCCTACCCCAAAGGCACTCGCCCCCATCCCATCCCTGTGGTTCTCATCCCCCCTCCCACCCCAGCCAGATGCTTTTCTGCTTCTTCTTCCTCCTTTTCTAGGCTCCCGTGCTTTCTATGTCGCTCCTGCCAGGCTGGGGTGGTGATAGGTCCCCCCATGGCTCCTGGGGCTCCAGCTCCATGACAAATTCTGCAAGGCTGAGGACGGAGTTGGCAGTCTCGGGGACGCTGTAGTCGGGGTACAGCAGCTCATCGGGCAGCGAGAGGGAGGCAAAGTCACAGGGAGGGGCAGCTCTGCCGGCGCCACCAGAGTCCCCAGGCACAGGGACACTGCTGGGTCGGTCCTGGCTGACTAGGGAGCAGCCCAGCAGCGTCTCCTCCACCAGTGCAGTGTCACTTGCTGGGTCCCCAAGGGCTTGGATGTGGGGGCCAGCACAGGAGCTGGGGGGGACATCCCCACCCGGGGGGACATTGTTGCCCTGGGAGACGTCCCAGCCCTGGGTTGGCCCCGTGGGAGTGGCTGTGTCAGGGATGCTGAGCTGCACAGCCTGTCCCTGGATGTCCTGTTGGCTGGTCCTAGGGGCTGTCCAGGCCAGGGGGGTCACCCAGCCCCTGAGGCCCCCCAGGACAGCCCCTGGCAGAGCAGCAGTGCAGTGGCCTGGAGTGGAGGTGGCCGGTGGTGGCAGGTTGGTGGTAGTCCATTGGATGTGGAAGAGCCGGGGGTCGAAAAAGCAGCCACATGGAGCCCTCTGCAGCCCTGGGTGGGTGGGGGGAGCCGTGCTGGGCCAGGGGGACTGGCCAGGGGCACCCACCAAGCTGCAGGTCAGGAGCTGGTGGCCTGGGCACTCCTAAGGGTGAGCTGCTGTGCCCGAGGGATGGTGAAACGGGAGAGATGGCCTCAAGGATTTGGGATATTCCCTGGAAATGGGATTGACCAGGCACACACACCCCAGGAGAGGGCAGGGACCCCCGAGCCATCACTGCAAGAGGATATGGGGGTGCTGAGCTGGTGATGTGGGAGTGCTGGGAGTGGAGGATGCTGGAGGTGCTGGGGTGCCGGAGCAGATGAGGTGCCATACCTGCTGGGGGTGCCCAGGGTGCCCCCCACACCCGAGATGCTCCAGCTGCAGGGAGGGGCTGTGCCTGCCCTGGCACTGGGTACATGTTGACTGAGCCTGGAAGAGGGACAGGAGCTAGAGGTCACCTCCAGTTGTGTCCCCAGGTCTGGTTCCCAGGCTGCAGGAGTTGGTCCCTACCTCGAGGGTTGCAGGTTTCAGGGAGCATGAGGGGCTGGGGGACCAGAGGGACTTGGGGGCTGTGCTGGGGTACCCACTGCCGTGGCTGCACCATGGCTCTGTCTGTCTGATGGTTGCTAAGGACTCTCTGGTGCATAGAATGTGGGGGCTCCCAGAGTTCCATCCACCCCAACAGCCCCCCCAGGATGGAAAGGAGGTGGGGGGGCCGGGGCTCTCAGAGACTGTTGATGGCAGTGCCTTTGGCTGGAGGCCCTTGGTTCCTTCCCAGAGCTGAAACATCCCTGGGGTTAGGGTCTGGGAGGGCATAGGCTGGACAGGGGGTGGGGGCTGCCCTGTGGGGAGGAGACAGGGTGGCATGGGGAGCCCTGACAGTCACCATAGGGTGGTTGAGCCTCTCAGGGAGGATGAGAGGATGGAATCAAAGCAGAAGTTGTAGCAGGGTCTGCTCCTGACCACCCAGCCAGCATGGTGACCCCCAGGAGTTCATCTGCAGGCCACGAGGAGAGGTTTCTGGGTTGGGAGCCCTTGTCCTTCAGGGGGAATTCCAGTTCCCCACCACCAGCTGGGAACACTACATTGCTGGGACCAGCAGGTCTGTGAAATTCCTGGGGGAGAGATGATCTTGTTCCAAGTACTCAGAAGCCAAGCAGGAACTTGCCAGCTGGGAATGGAGAAGGACTGGTGGGAGACTGGATGGTCTTGGCCACAGTGATAATGGAAACCGTGCTTCCCTCAGCCTCTTCTGGGAAGACTTGTGCTCTGGATAAAATAATTTAAATATTTCTATCATTGTTTACATATTGCTTCAATCATAGAGTCATAGGGGTTGGAGGGGCCCCTGGAGATCATCACGTCCTCCCCCCTGCCACGGCAGGAACACCCCAGGCAGGTCACACAGTCCTGCATCCAGGTGGGTCTGGAAAGTCTCCAGAGGAGACTCCACAACCTCTCTGGGCAGCCTGTCCCAGGGCTCTGTCACTCTCACAGGAAAGAAGTTTCTCCTCATGTTGAGGTGTGTTAGTCCAGGTGGCAGAGTAAAAGTTTTAACTGAGGTTTCATCACAAGACCACACCTCGAGTTCCAGTTTGAGGCCTGAGGCCTCCTCGCTCCAGCTGCTCCTGCTAAGTCACTTACCTCAAGCAGTTTCTAGTTCGCCCAAATCTTCAACATTAATGCAATTAATTCCAACAATTTGATCAATATATAATCTGCTCATCAATCCGCCCCCAAATGTTCAAAGACAGATATTCAATCAATCAAATCACTTTCCAATGGAGTTTCAGCAGTTTAATTTTTTAATAACACATTTTAATGAGCTATTAAATTGCCATGTACTTCAGTCTGCACTGTAGTTCCTTTCTAATCAGTGCTGATTATCAAGATATTTGTATCTGGCAAACCTGCTCTTGTTTCATCTCCTCCTGCAGCTCAAGCTTCAGGTGCCCTTGGGTCCCTTTCCAGCTTTTGGGATGCAGGGAAATGGCCCTTAGGGCCTTGGCCATGGCTCCTCCCAGCACCATCCAGGGGCTCCTGCCTCAGTTTCCCCCCGACTCATCCAGTGGGGGCCAATGGGGCTCCCAGGTGTAACGGGACGTGGGATGGAGGGGCCACAGGGTTCTCTGCTACAGCATGAGAGGCTGAAAGGGGCAAGGGGACACCTCCCCACCCCCATCCCCCAGGGCCTTGCTGTACTCCCTCTGCCCAGCACCAACACATGGCCAGGACCACAGGGCGTGCAGGGACACAGGACGGACTCTGTCCCAGCGATGCAGGGGCAGCGGGTCACCCTGTCCCCTCCCCCCGGCTGGTGCCATCCACAGTCCCGTGTCATCAGTGGCCCATGCCACGATGGCCCCAATGGCCCAGCCCCGGATGGCACCGCGCTGACCAGTGCCTGGCACAGCCCCCAGCTGGACTCAGCACCAGACACAGCACCGGGGAGCTGCTGAGCCGTGGATCCGTCCGGGCAACGGTCAGTCTGAGAGGGCAACGGGCCCTGGGGACACACGTGCACACCCAGCGTGAGCCAGAGCTGTGGCCGGTCCCCATGGACACCGGGTTGGGTCCCCGTGTGAGGCCTGGGTGCCACAGGGCTTGGCTGGTGCCCTGGGGTCAGTGCTGGAACTGGGCGTGGGGCCCCCCTGGAGCCAGAACATGGCCTGGGGGTGATGCCAGGTCACAGCCCGGTGCCCCCAGCCCAGCGCTGTGCCCGGGGTTGTCAGACTCTAGTGCCTACCGCTCCCTGGTGCGGGGCTGTGCCGGGGCCGTGCTGGGCTGAGCTCAGAGCCGGGCCAT